CGCCGGCCAACTCAGCAGCAGTTATCGTTAATGTGCCTTGTGCAGACCAGTTGCCGTTGAGATTCTCCAGTCCACATGATGGCTCAAAAGTGAAAGGATCAGCGGCGAAGTTAAACGTTTGACCAAAAACATCTGAAAATAGAGAGCAAGGATTATCTATAGCAATCAAAGCCCACTGAAAAACTTCTTGTGAAGAAAAACAAATCCTTTAATTTGATCATAGACAGATTTTGTCTATCTTCGCAACCCTAAAATGTTCATTCATTTCTTAAAATTGAAATTGGTACTAAAGGTAATCATGATGTCAGAATTTTTACAGGTTTTTTTCTTCCCAAATCAGTTTCTGAAATTCCAGCAACGAAACACATCAATATTCTGATAGACTAAAAGGGTGGGTCGGGTGGTTGGCGGGTGCTCTGGAGTGGCTTTCTCCTTCTTTCCTATCGAACATCTATCGTCCTTATCTTCCCTTCTTCTTTTTTATGTTTGTTACTCTCTTGTAACACCTCTTATCTTCTGGCGCTCATATGACCTTATGCCGTAAAACCTCCACTAAAACTAAAAACTAAAAGGGAGATAATTTGTTATGAAGAAATACTTTTGATTTTATGCGGGTGTCCCCCTTCTAAAAATGATCCAAAATAAAGAAATAAATTACATGCCAATGGTAATCTTTGGGAAACGATCCCTGATCTGTGATAGCACGTTCAGTACTCGCCAAGAAGCAACATCGTTCAGATAACTCTAGAGGTAGTTCCCCCCCCCCCCAAAAAAAAACAAAAAAAATACAAAAAAACCCACAAATCTTAGCATGTTCCCCTATTAATAAACAAAACAAAACAAACAAATCTTAGCATGTTCCCCTATTAATAAACAAAACAAAACAAACAAAACAAAAATGTAGTGGAGTATTGGACTGAGTCACTCACAGGTCACATGACACAAGGACAGTCCCAGAAACAGCAGCAGTGTGGCCGGCGACATGACTCCACGCACTCAATGACCCTGAAGGAAAAAAAAACCCCAGACACACACAAAAAATCATCAATGTTTAAAGCATGAAAAAGTAAGTGAAAAACAAAAAGTAAATAAAGGCTGGGGTATTTCAGAAATTTTATGACACGGTTTAATCATTTTTTATTTTTTTTACAAATGTTTAAGCTAGTCAGTCACAGACTTAACTTTAAAGCTATCAGACACAGACTTAACTTTAAGCTTAGATCAATCAGACATAGACTTAACTTTAAGCCAATCAAATGTAGACTTAACGTTTTACTAAGCCTATCAGACACTAATCAACTTAAGCCTATCGGACACGCACTTAGCTTTAAGCCTATAAAACAGACTTAATTTCAAGCCTATCATAATCAGACACACACTTTACTTTACTCTCTATCCTACAAAAGTCACACACCACTACGAAAGTTTTACAACAACTTAACGTGCACAAACGTCACACACCACCTTGAAAGTTTTGCAACAACATAACCCTATCCGTACGCCCTGGGGTCATTTTGTACCCCCAGGGTTGTACTCTTCACATTTTAGAGTACTTCTAGTACCAATATCTCTTTGAAACTTTCAGTATTTCTCAAAAAAATCATTTTGACAGACTGCTATGCAAAGCGTACGGATCGGATTAACGAGTAAACTTCCTCTTTTGGAAAGTGGTGGCACATAGTCCCCCACATCGTATGGATACGATATAGTAAAACACGACGTACGGATAGGATTAAGTGGTGGCACAGCGTTCCCCAGGTCGTATGGATACGATAGTAAAACACGACGTACGGATAGGGTTAAGTGGTGGCACAGAGTCCCCCACGTCGTATGGATACGATAGTAAAACACAACGTATAAAGATAGGGTTACGTGGTGGCACAGAGTCCCCCACGTCGTATGGATACGATAGTAAAACACGACGTATAAAGATAGGGTTACGTGGTGGCACAGAGTCCCCCACGTCGTATTGATACGATAGTAAAACACGACGTATAAAGATAGGGTTTAGTGGTGGCACAGAGTTCCCCACGTCGTATGGATACGATAGGAAAACACGACGTACGGATAGGGTTAAGTGGTGACACAGAGTCCCCCACGTCGTATGGATACGATAGTAAAACACGACGTATAAAGATAGGGTTAAGTGGTGACACAGAGTCCCCCACGTCGTATGGATACGATATAGTAAAACACGACGTACGGATAGGGTTAAGTGGTGGCACAGAGCCCCCCATGTCGTATGGATACGATAGTAAAACACGAAATATAAAGATAGGGTTAAGTGGTGGCACAGAGTTCCCCACGTCGTATGGATATGATAGTAAAACACGACGTACGGATAGGGTTAAGTGGTAGCACAGAATTCCCCACGTCGTATGGATACGATAGTAAAACACGACGTACGGATAGGGTTAAGTGGTGGCACAGAGTTCCCCACGTCGTATGGATACGATAGTAAAACACGACGTACGGATAGGGTTAAGTGGTGGCACAGAGTTCCCCACGTCGTATGGATACGATAGTAAAACACGACGTACGGATATG